GCATCGCTACTAGGAACAAGGATGCTACTAGGGGCTCCTGGCCTTACGAACAAGAAGCTACGACTCTTGACTTTGTCCCAAAAGCACCAAACTCTATGTGCCGAGCTCATGGACCGAAGGGCCTCTAGTTGAGAGCAAGCCAGTCAACGGCGAGTGCCACCCAACCAGCTATGTGTGAGACAGCCTATGTGGGCTACTCGATTACCTAGTCATCACGCGATGTGCTATAGGCGAGTGAACCATTTGGCAGCACGTAACCAAGGTTCAGACTCCAAATAAATAGAATGTGTATATCTATTAATGTTTGGCTAAATTAGGTTAAACAACAATAACACACATTCCATTCTCGTTATTTTGAGCCACTGGTTGGTAGTCAAGACCTGACCTACTTTGTGGCATTTGGACCCTTTGAAGAACAGAGGCCCCCCCTTTTTTCAGTGTCCAAGATCCACCATCCAGGAGCTTGTGAGCTAGCCACCAATGACACAAACAGTTTGGCCGTTTTTTTCAACGTGGTTGACCAAGAATTCCTGAGCAGGGTGGATGGATAGAGCCATCCTGAAAACCTGTGGTTGTCAGTATTGTGACGCTGGGCATCCATTCTGCAATATTGAAAACATCGATTGATTTGTTATGAGATGTTCAACGGAAAACCTTTGCAATGAAATATCAATCACGTACTGCAGGTTTTGCTAGCTGCTGGGAGTAGCCCTTCCAACTTCCTTTCTGGGATCACCAACCATTTTCACCTACACTTGGTCAGTCTCTGTCAGGTTGCATCGAGAAGTGGCTCGAGGTGAGTGTGAACTGCCCGGTCTGCAACCAATCTCTCCAATAGCGCCAAAGGCGCATCCGTGAAAAAACACATCACACGTGCACCACCCGTGCAGCCTGATCTGTAGAGCAGAGGCCAGCGCGAAAGACGCATAGCGAGTCAATCCAGGACATTGGGGAAGTTCTGGGGATTCTGCTAGGACCAGGAGCACATCTAAAACAAATCGTTAAAAGGATCGCTACTGTGTTGGAAGGTGCTGGCGCAGGGTGCCTCCCTTTGTTCGTTAAGGAAGGTCTAGTCGTCCTTTTCAAGGCCCATGCGCTCTCTACTTCCATGTTAGTCAGTGTTTGTCGGAGGTTCTGCGGTTCTCACAAATGGGACTTGCTTGGACTCAAGACAGTCGAAGTTCCATTGAGTCGCATGTTGCCTCGTGACACATTTGACAGATCTGTTTACGGCCCTGCAGATCCTGAGCTTAGCAATGCCAGAGTTGGATGTGCATGGCTGAGGCGGAACGTCCAGCTGCCTACGGGGAATTGGGACGATAGTCAAGAGAAGCTGCGCCAGGAGCGCCACCCCCATGTCCTCCGAGGTGCATGTCCTGCTTTGGTACTGGATGATGATTGACTTGGGCACGTTTGTCACTTGATACCACTCTTGTGACAAAAATGTGACTCACTCGGCTATCATCGAGACTAACACTCTAACTTGTTTATTCAATAACTATGAGGAAAGCCAGAAGCCTCCAGTCCGATGATCTTAGTTGCTGAAGAACAAGAGATGTTGAGAACAGGGAAACTCTTTGTCGGATCCCAACGCGGAGAGTACTTCCCTGCAGATTTAACATGGAACCCCAGAAACCACTGGGTTGTAGAGGACAATGGTCTTGAGTCTTCACCCGTCAATTCTCAACGGTTCTATGAGATCGTTTGCGGGAGGACCATGTCGCTGTGCCCTTCCACTCGACCTGTGCCTATCCATCCACCGAACCACCAAACCGAAGACCGAAGGAGTGGCATCAACGCTTGGCCGCCAATGTGGATGAGCATGATGCGCCCAAGCGGGGAAAGGCGCCAGCGTGGAGTTCGGGATGGGTCAAAACCTGGAGCGGCCTACCATGTAGCGAATGACCTGCCAGGTATAGGTCAAGCAAGGCATCCTGGTGCCATGACCCTTTGACTCAGCCATATAGATGCCTATTGATGCCTATGTTCCGCCCTCGATAGAGGTCCCCATTTCTATGGAAGCAAAAAACATTAAAAGAACAATTCTTCCAAGACATTATTTTATGTAGATTGGGAGAACCTGCTTTTCGTTCCACCTCCATTTTGTTCCACCTCACTGTAAACCTTATTGGAGAAGAGCAACGGGTCTCACATTTAGTATGTTGACCCAGCAAAACCAGGTAGTGTTGTTGAATCTATGTCTTTACATGTTTTCCACCTTTGAGTCTTGAGGCTTTTGTACACACGTTTAGAGGTTGGAAAAACGCCCAGAAAACGAAGCCCACATCTCGAAAGGATGTTTACTTCACCACTACTTTTCGCTCGCATCGCCAGGCCTCCTTGAGAGGATCAGCCGGGCAGGGAGCTCAGACAGAAAACACATGAACACAGGGAGACGGTGGCGGGCGAACCCCCGAAAAGCTGTGGAGCATGACCAGCTTGAAGCAATGACACACTATGACTCACTTGTCACTTGCTTGTGAAGTTTTTTCAGTGCTGTTTGGGAATGAGACCTTCAAGACATCTCAACAGGGTGATCGAAGTATGTTGTGGAATGTCAAATGAAAAGCTGTTGGCCACGGGCTTTGGGGTTTCGGTGTGAACACGTCATAGCTGTTGACCTTGGAAGGAGGAGTGTAAAGTGACTGATTGAATGCTGCGAAGTTGCGTGGTGATGCTTGAAGTGTCCAAACCCTTTGTAGAAAACATACTTTGCGGAAAACCAACCAACTTGGTTGAGTGGGATGTCAGTTAGACTTGCCAGAAATCCTGGTCAGGCTATCAGATCTTTATGAGAAGATTAATGCCTGTACTCTTTCAGAAGAGAAATTTGGACCACCAACCCTATCCAAGCCTCCAAATTCGGGACTTGAATCCCCCTAATAGACTCACCAGAAAGACGACACCAAGCCTCCAAATTCGAGACTTGAATACCCCAAATAGATCGGTCTTCTTCGCCCACTGGCCTTAGTGCCGCCCCCGCAGGTCGCTCCGGCGGCCGGGCGCCTCGCTGCGGAACGCCGCCTCGGCGTCCGGGTCGGCGGCCAACAGCCAGGTGGGTAGCTCCTTGGCAGCGCAAGGTGAACATGAAGGATCGATGATCAATGATTAAGAATGACTAAGAAGTTGCTCCGTCATTTGGGAGAGGGAGAGGCAAACATCATAATTGGACATATCAAATATAGTATATTGTATGATCAAGAGCTTCCAGATGGGCGACTGGACCGTCTCAAGCTGTCGATGTGGGTGGGTTTCTAGCCGAACTGGTGCGTAGATCATGTTGGAAATAGTATAGACAAAAAGCGCGAGCCACCTGAAGACTGGCGGAGGCCAGCCCCAAAGTGATGAAGCTGGAACCCCTCCAAAGCACCAGAGACCACCAAATATGTCCAGCGACACTCCATGTTGAGCACTCTCGGCCCAAAATGTCTCGCATCCTCCATCATCTTGACATGTCATGCGCCGATGAGACACTTTCGCCGGTTGCACCGGAGCTTCGCTGTTCGCCCGCCCCAGCCTGGTGGGCGAGGGGTTGGTTGATGCCACAGAGACTTGGCAGAGTAGATGCAGTTGCATAGAGCATTGTTTTCACTTGCTTCCGGATCTTTTCCGAGAAACTCTTCCGGAGCTTCCCTTCGCCCAGCAACTGGGATGGTCACAACCTAGAGCCGGACTTGGCAGCATTTGGAGTGCTGAAGGATCAGCAAGCCGCTTTCTTCGTGGAATATATGACGGCTACTGGCGACACGGGGAAGACGAAGGCGTGAAAATGGACCGTCTGAGAAATGTAGCGTGTATGTGCTTCGGATCAGCCACACGGTGAGCGAACCATATGATGGGAACGTTCTATGATTCGTGTGGACACTTGGCAACAAGGTGATCACAAGTCGCTTTCGAGGCTCTGAACAGCGTTTTGGTGCAGACAACTGCCAAAGTTGAAGAGGTTCTACATCACAAGTGTTTGAATCAATGGCCCTCTCATGTGCAAAAGGGTGAGTTGGAATATTATCTTGCTGCCCAACTGGTCACAAATACCGCAATGACTGCAATATGACAGACAAGATTTCTGCATTTTTGGTCAAGGATGGATACAAGGAGAAAGACTTTGAGTTGATGCAACAGCATGTTTTGGTAAGCAGAACATCGATAGAACACAAGCTAAAGCCCAAGTTGTATTGGTTGCGAGACTTGGGAATGAGCAAAAGTCAAATTGCCCAAGCTGTTGCGGTGTTTCCTCCGATCCTTGGCCTGAGCATCGAGCAAAACTTAAAGCCTACTGTGCAGTGTCTTCTAGACTCAGGCTTGAGTGGTGCTGAAGTTGCCAGAGCTGTTGCAGTGTTTCCTCAAATATTTGGATACAGCATAGAGAAGAACTTGAAGCCCAAATACAATGTCCTTTCTTCTTCTTTTGGATCCAATGCCACTGCTGAACGTTTCCGCATCCTGAAGCAGCGCAACGAACAGACAAAGCTGGCCAGCATAATGCCTTTGACCGAGGCGAAGCGGTGTGGGACCTGAAAAAGCCACGACTCCCTTCCCCACTGATCTAGTAAGTCATGGTCATGGGATATGATGGGATAATGAACTCGACGATTTTAGACAACCAACTGGTGCAGAACCAATTCTCCCTTCACTGGGCGTTCCTCTCCCTCCCTTCTCATCCTTCTCATCCTTCTCCCAACTCAGGCTTAGCGCCTTCGCGGGCCTCGCAATCTCCGGTGATGTCTCCCAGGCCGACCGTCTGCCGGTCGACCTGTGGGTTGTTCAGGATGCATTCAGAAGCCCAAGCGTCCTTGTTCCGTACTACTTGCGATGTCCTCCAACCTACTCGCGATGGCCTCCATCTAATAGCGCCCGCGGATGCTACGTTCGTAGCTTGTGGGCTGTTCGAGATTCAGAAACCCAACACGTGTGCCAGGGATTGCAACACTGCTTTGTCAAGCACCTCAGCTTGAAGTAAAATGAAGTAAAAGGTATTGGTCTTGGACTGGTGGTGAACCCGTTGTGTTTTGATGTCTCCATTGCTTGAATCACCATTCATCCCAAAACAGATGTTCTCCGGACAACATGACTGATTCTTTTCCGGTGCTCCCCCTTTTGCTGGACCAGACTTGACATCACTGAAATCCCCGCTGCAGACGTATCGTCGAAGGAAAATTGTGTATCTTTGAGAAGATGCCCTAGCGATTCCTAGCACGATCGATCTCTAATTGATATACATATATATATATATATATGTTGAAGATAGGTCCTTTCCAAGAGCTGCCCGAATAGAAAACACAACGTCAAATCAACCCAAATGCACCCCCCCATAGTCCACTCACATGTTCTAGTTTCTAGACAAACACTGTAGATGTTTCATCATCTTCATCTCTTGCCCTAAATAGCTCAAGATACCTCAAGCAGACAAGAATCATGACAATCACCTTCAGAGCCACAGACTCCAGCGCCACCGCCACAGGCGCACCGACGAGGAGGAGCCGCGGCTC